GTCAATTCTGAAGATGTTTAAGATGTAACTCCTGATTCTGAATCAGAAACTTTGAACAAAGAACTTCTATCAGGATCCTTAAAGATCATCCCAAAGATCTTACCATTGGAGACCTCAACAGTGGTGTAAGAACCAGAACCAGAGAAATCGTCTCAAATTCATGCTTTGTATCCAAGATTGAGCCCAAAAATGTGAAGGAGGCTTTAACTGATGAATATTGGATCAAGGTCATGCAAGATGAGTTGGAACAGTTTCAAAGGAATGAAGTGTGGGAATTGGTCCCAAGGCCTGAAGGAACAAACATCATTGGAACCAAGTGGATTTACAAGAACAAGTATGATGAATAAGGAGTTGTAACCAGAAACAAGGCTAGATTAGTGGCACAGGGTTATACTCAAGTTGAAGGAATTGATTTTGATGAAACTTTTGCACCAGTTGCGAGACTTGAGTCAATCAGGCTGTTGTTAGGAATTGCCTGCATCCTGAAATTTAAACTATTCCAGATGGACGTGAAGAGTGCTTTTCTGAATGAATATCTGAATGAGGAAGTATATGTGGCACAACCAAAGGGATTTGAGGATCCTAGCTTGATAGACCATGTATACAAGTTGATGAAGGCACTGTATGGATTAAAGCAAGCTCCTAGAGCTTGGGATGAGAGACTGACTGAATTTCTTACCACCAATGGATACATAAAAGGAGGGATAGACAAGACCCTTTTTGTAAAGGACGAAGGTGGAAAAATCATGATTGCACAAATCTATGTGGATGACATAGTGTTTGGAGGGATGTCAGACAAAATGGTGAAACAATTTATCAATCACATGTAATCTGAGTTTGAAATGAGCATGTGTGGGGAATTAACTTACTTCCTTGGACTGCAAGTCAAGCAAATGGAAGATTCTATATTTATCTCCCAAAGTAAATATACCAAAAACATAGTCAAAAAGTTTGGGATGGACAATGCTGGTCATAAAAGAACACCTGCACCCACTCATCTAAAGTTATCAAAAGATGAAAGTGGTACTAGTGTGGATCAAAGCCTGTACAGAAGCATGATTGGAAGCTTGTTGTATCTAACAGCCAGCAGACCTGATATTGCATTTGCTGTTGGTGTATGTGTCAGATATCAAGCAAATTCTAAGGTAAGTCACATAAATCAAGTCAAAAGGATTCTCAAATATGTGATTGGAACTTGTGATTATGGTATACTTTACTCTTATGGGTGTGATCCTACATTATCTGGATATTGTGATGCTGACTGGGCTAGAAGTGCTGATGACAGAAAGAGCACCTCTGATGGATGCTTCTTCTTAGGAAACAACCTCATATCTTGGTTCAACAAAAAGCAAAATTATGTCTCATTATCCACTGCTGAAGCTGAATACATAGCAGTTGGTAGTAGTTGTTCTCAGCTGGTCTGGATGAAGCAAATGTTAACTAAATACAATGTCACTCAGGATGTCATGACATTGTACTATGACAATCTCAGTGCTATCAATATTTCCAAGAATCCAATCCAGCATAGCAGAACTAAGCACATAGATATAAGACATTACTTCATAAGAGACCTTGTGGAAGACAAAGTGATTTCCTTGGAACATGTGTCCACTGAACTACAGCTAGCTGACATCTTTACAAAGGCTCTAGATGCTGCTCAATTTGAGAATCTAAGAGGAAAATTAGGTATTTGCATGTATGAGGACTCATAGCAATTATTGGCACGTGAGAGTTTTAAAACTTCAATGCAGTCCACGACCTTGACCACAAAAACTCTTCATTCCACACAAACGTGCCATATCACTACATATACAATTTTCTACGTCTCCTCCACTCTACAGAATTCTCAGTCTGCACTCCGCAACAAGATGTCTTTCCATCACGATGCCTCTTCATCCAAGACCCCTCCCAAATCCTCAAAAGGTGCCCCTCCCACTGCCGAAGAACCCAAGCGCAAGTATCCTCCTCCCACTACTGAAGAACTTAGACGAATCAGAAACAAGGAAGGCTCGGCATACGTGGACAAATCCATTGGGGAAATTGTCGATGATATACTCAAGAAAGGACTGCCTTTTCGGGGCATCACCATTCCCCTGGCTCGCATGGATCCACCTCATAATTCTGATATGCCAGAGGACGACCCTGATGACATCAATAAGGACATCTCATTGTCAGATTCGGATGACAATGATTCCAGTTCCTCTGAGGAAGATGAATAATGTGGGCTGATAGACAGCAGTGGAGCTTAGGCTGATGGTTGCTGAGATGAGAATGGTGTGCTGCTGGTTTGATTATTTCATTGTTTTTGACTTTTGTAACAGCTTGAATTTGTGATGCTCTCCATGAGCAGTTTTTGTTTGTAATGACCCCAAACATGTGTAATGTTACTCATTATGATCTATACTATGTTATTAGTTTGATCTTAATTTGTGGCTAAAAAGGGGGAGAGAGTGTTAGATAACAGCAGGTAGTGACAGCAGGTTAGAGAAGTGTAACATTCACAGGTGGAAGACTTGGCTGAATTGCTGCTACAAGTGTGTTGCAGGTGTGTTACAGGGGCTGCTGCAAATGTGCATGGTTGAAGATCTTGCAAATGTGCATGGTTGAAGATTTTGCTAATGTGCATGTGTGATAACAGCTGATGCTGTTAGATATGTGTGTGTTCCTTGATGGAACCTAGTAGTATTGTAGCTGCTAGTAGGGTGTGTTTTGGCAGGGTGTTTGCAGAATGTATGTGGCTGTGCACCTCTTCAGGGGGAGTAGCATAGGTTGTTATGCTTCACAGGTGATTGTGTACTTCAGGATGTCATCCTGAATGTCATAACATCCATGATTCAGAGCAGGCTAGATGAATTTGAGTGACTGCAGGTTGGCTGCAGGTTGTGTGCACTGATGTGTTGTGCATCAGTTGAGGGGGAGTAACCCAGAATGTTACTCAACATATTGTGACATCTATAGTGCTGACTAACAGATGATTATGTGTGAATAGGTTGATCCTGAGAGCTAACAGTGTGATTGTGTGTAGACAACATTGATAGTGTGTAGCTAGTAGCTTTCCTGCATGATATGTTAGACTTCTGCTGCTTGAAATCTCTGATACTGTAAAAGAGTGTTTTAGCCAAAAATTTGCCAAAGGGGGAGTTTGTAAATGTCTTTGATTGGCTGCATTTTATGGCAAAACATTAATGTATGTATGAATGTCATAATTGATGTTATGACATACATGAAGAGTGTTCTGCAGGGAGAGCTAAGAGTAAGTGAAGCTGAATGTCATGGTTGAATGTTATGACATCAATCGTATGACATCAGGACGCGCATGGTTTATTTTTCTGTTATTAGCTCAGGTTATACTTCAGGAAACAATTCAGGAAGCATAGTTATCTTAGGCGACATAACAGACATAACATAGAAGACTCCTGACCTAATGATAAGTGCGCAACTTCATGAAGAGAGGTTTATCTTGGGTAAACCTAATTTCTCCATCAAGGCCCAAAGCAAGTCTGTTGCTATAAATAACACAAGGATCATTCCTAATAGGGTAGAGCTTCTGGAAAGAGACTGAAGAGTGTGTCCTGTGAGTGAAGAGGTTGTTCTTCACGTGGATTTTGTGAGTGAAGAGGCTTGCTCTTCACGTGTGTCTAGGAGTCTTAGGATTCCTTGTGTGCCAAGCAATTGTATGTTGTATAATTGCTTTGGTTATTGTGTATGAACAGGTGTGTTCATTGTGTCACTCAAACATGTTAAGCAAGAGTGTGTGTCTCTTGATAAAAGCTGTGAAGCAAGATCAAGGTGTGTTTGAAGAGTGTCTTCATATTGTAATAGTGAATTGATTATCATTGCGGTGATTGAGGGGGAGTGAGTGGGAAACTCTGGTCTAGTGGTCTCTAGGCTGAAGTGTCATTGGGTAGGTCTTAAGTGAAGAGTGCAAACGGGTTGTTTGACTCTGAATTAATTCTACTGATAGTGAATTTCCTCCCTGGCTTGGTAGCCCCCAGATGTAGGTGTGGTTGACACTGAACTGGGTGAACAATTACTTGTGTTATTTACTGCTTTTCATTTACAGCTTATTAGTAGGTCCAGTAGTCTGTGTTACATTGAATGTCATAATATCCGTGATAACATCCATTGTGTGCTTGCCAGAATTTCAATGAAAAAGGAAGAAAAGGGAAGGTTTAGCGCGGGATATGAAACAAAAGCTTTCGGAGATGCATTTCCAGACCACCCACTAATTTTTAAATGAATGATGTTTAAAAATATGTATCTAGGAACGTACCTTTTACATATACGGAGATGTATTTCCAGATTAAATTTTGGCATAATAAGGGTGTCTTTTCAATGTGATATGAGAAATGGCTTTAAAATGTGAGTTCAAAGATGCATCTTTAAATTTTAAAAATATTTTTAAATTTTTACGATGGTGAAGAAGCACGCATAAGGGTGGGATAAAACAACCCCATAGAATTTGGACAACTAACTTTCCCTCTGTAATTGTAAATTGGGCTATAAAAGACATATTTAATGATAAATAAATTATTATTTTTTAATTAAAAAACTAATCACTATTAAAAACACTTTCCAAAACACACCAAAATAAAGTATAGAAAGAAAAGCAAGCAGTCAGAAATCTGTTCATTTTTACATTAAAAAGGTTCCCGACACACATCAAAACCAGGTTGCTTTTTTCTGTGAAGTATTTCCCCACAAACTTCAATCGTTATAGATTAAACCAGTGGTCATAGCTGCCAAAGAAAAAAAATAAAAAAACACTATACATGCATATGAAAGCATCAAAACGCAGAAGATGAAAGCTAGAAAATTTGAACAAAAATTTAATCATGAAGCATTTCTCAAACGTATTGAATGAAGAGAATTTCTAAGACATATATGGTTTGCTGAAGTTGCACAAATTATACTAATAAACAAGTTTCAAATAATATTGTGGCATATCATGTTTAAGATAATTACCTCGGTCGGGGTTGGTAGGAAACTATAGTGTTTTATCAGTGTGATCTTTCAGTAAATAGGCCAAGATTAAAGAGATCAGTTTCTTTCCCTTTGGCTGCATTCTTCTCGGCTTCATCTTTGTCAGAAACTAACCAATTGTAAGGAAGTTGGATTTTAGACTCAAACCTACTTTTTTTACTTCTGCTTTGTTTTACTTTGACAATTGGTAAAGGTAGAGGTGCTCCCATCACCATTGTTGAGTCCTCTATGTCTCCCTTGGTTATGACTCGCAAACCACATTCCTTCAAAATCAAACCTTTATGGGCCTTAAATGTGATATGCGCTCCTGTTTCAACAAAATGGCAGTGTTCCCGAGAGATATAGATTATCCAAAGATAATGGTCACCAAGAATCTTCTTCTGATCCAAATTGAGTGGCATATCAAATCGTTCTTCTGTGTGTTCGTTCTCAAAAGAAAGATAAAAAGGATGTGGCAGTGGCGGCGGGAAGAGTGGGGAATTAGATAATACATGATGATTGTTTAACTCAAATGTTACATAAAAGAGAAACCCAAGCCAGTCATCATGCATTCCAGTGTTATTTATTCTTCCTATAGAACCCCCTTTAAACCCGTGACCAAAAAACTCTTGAATGGAACTATTTTCAAGAAAACCATTGATTTCTTCATGCCAAGGAAGAACAATGTCAAAGCCACACCGAAATTGAAGAGGTTCCTGCTAGCAATATCATAAACTATCAAACTGTACCTTATAAAAAATAAAGTTTTGACAAATTATCAAAACATAGAAAACATAGGCAGAGTATTACTCACCCGAACTAGTCTTTGTACCCATCTAGAGAAGAGCCGACAGATATATTCGTTGGAGAACAAGGATTCAGACGTTGTGTTAATGGGAGAGTCAAAAACATATAGTCCCGATCGATGGTTACGCGATCCAGATGTTGTTTGAAAATATCTTCCCGTTGAATCTGATTCACCACTTTCTATTGGGAGCTCAGGCATACTTTCAAGCTTATGGCAATGAGACAAATTTAAATATGATAAACTGCCAAGAGACTTCAAGAAGGGAGGAAGTTTAGTAAACTTATTTCCTTGAAGATTTAGTCTTTCCAAACACCTCAATCCTCCAATAGCATCAGGTATTGTAGTAATACCGCAAAAGCTTAAGTCTATAGAAATCAAAGATTGTGTGGTAGAAATGTAAATCCCTCTTAAGGGAAACTTTGTAAATTTAAAGCATCCGTAAAGATCTAGAGTTATAAGAGATGTCATCTTATAAAAAGTGTCGGGTATTTCAACAAGATTTGGGCAGTTTCTCAAACTTAAGAATTTTAGATTTGCAAGATCCTTAACTGATTTATGAAACATGGACAAACTTGCACATCGATCCATTTCAAGATACTGAAGACTTACTAATCCATTGAACTCCGGAGTGATTTCAAGTTTGGTGCAATCAGAAAGACGCATAACTCTTAAAGACTTTAATCTTGATGCATTCCCAAAATCAAGGCTGACTAGACTACTACAGTTCTGCAAACTCAAGAATACAAGTTTTGTAAGAAGTCCAATTGATGGATGCACATTCAACAAGTTTATGCAACCTGTAAGATCTAGTCGCTCAAGATTAGGTATCACTTCAAAGCATGGAGTCACTTTGAGGTTCTTGGAGTTGCTTAAATCCATCCTTTTTAAATAGGGGAGACGCTGTGAAGCAAGAACCAAACACTAAAATATTAGTATTGTTGAATTCAAACTTGAATTTCATTAATTCAATACGCTATATGATTTTAAATTGCAGTAATAAATTTAAAATCCACTTAAACCTACTTGCATTAATTTTTTTATACCACAAAAGGAATGAAGTTTAAATCAAGGACTCTAATACATTCTTTCAAAATACAATGTCTAACAGGTAGAAATTCAAATGGATCAAGCTAAATCATGTATTCCCTAAATAAATTTAGTGAGATTCAATTGAATATCAAACAATTAAAAAGTATGTATGTATTGAGAATAATGTGTTAGCATAATTCTTCACTGAATTCTTACAAATCAGAATTGTATTCTCATGCTTATAGAAGATACTCTCTCACTAACTCCTTTCAATCTCATATCTTAAACAAATAAGCAAACTGAAACTGAATTATGAAGAGAATCATAAATTCTATTGATTGAAAAGATAGAATTATTACATTGTAATGTTATGGTGCTGTAATATGTATTCATAGGTTATACCACCTATAACTAATTCTGTTATGGCAGTTACAACAGCTGACATACTAATTCTCCATATGTTTGGTTCGAGCATGAAGAATTGGATTGTGAGCTGTTGAAATACAAGAGACTAAGAGACATGAATAAACCGTGTATTTTGAAAAGCACTACGGAGACATTATTATATATAAATAGATTACAACTAATTACATGATATAGTCGATGTGAGACTATTATATATACAAATATTCTTAACACTATATATATATATTTACTGTTAATCACCCTCCGAAGGAATTAGGTCTAGCCGTTTGACCGCCGAGTCAATAACCCTAACCCTTTGACTATTTCAAACCCTATTTAGCCTAGGTGTCCCGCCGTGGACGAAAATACCCTTTACCCTAGTTTTAGGTCAAAGAGTCGCCGTACTCTGTTTAGGGTTTCCCGCCGTGGAATCCCTAATTTTAACCCAAAGTTCAACCTAATTTTCAATTAACAAATTCAACATAGAAATAGGAGTTTCAAAGACTCCACGTAAGCGTGTCCTTAAAATACGTTTACTCCCCATTGAAACCTTGACCATAGTCAAGAAGTTTATAACCTCCCTTTCGAGGGGAACTACAATTACTCTGATTCCATTCCCTATTCAGGATACGTAGGCACAAGATGCGACGTCTTGCCGAGTAAACTTAGGAATAACCCTTAGGTCTTTTAGGTCACTCTATCCCTTAGCTCAATATATATTAAAGCAGATAATAAATAAAAATAAAAGACATACAATAAACAAAAGGTTCCTGTAGAGTACTACAGAAGTTTAGGGTGCTAGTACCTTCCCTAAGCTTAACCAACCCCTTACCTAGGTCTCTCCCCGCATTGTGTTTACGATGCAAAAATAGGTTTTCCCTCTTTTGACCTTTTCCTTCGGATAAATCAAAGAGCGGTTGTGAATTAAAAATTGCGATTCAAATTAATTAATAGTTTGATATCCTATTTTCACCGCAACAATTTGTTTCAAGGATGGACTAATGATCGACTTAATGAGACTACAGAGTTGAGCATCAATTTTCTTCCAACGAGCACTATTAGTGGCAGCCACTGAGTCAGCCTTCGTAGTGACGTGATCTTCATAGACTTGTCCCTGGAGCCATAACTTGACGCCGGAAACCCAAGAATCATAGTTAGTACCGTCCAGTTTGTCAACGGCAAGAGGAGTAGTGATGTTACTTGTTAAAATAGGGGCCTCAGCCCTTGGAGGAGGATTGGCAGCCATGGATTCCAAAGACAGTAAGAGAAGTGACCAAAAAAACGTAGATTCGAGAGGGAATAAGGAGATTTAGAACACGTCTACAAAACAAGTGTAGATCAGAGGAGACGAGACACGGCTGCGGGAGAAGCCGAAAACCAGAGATGAAGCACGATTACCGGAAAAAAAATTTGGCGCCAATAGACAGTGGGTCTACCGGGAAAGCACGAATTAGGGTTGCCTCTTGTTAGGCTCTAGATACCATGTTGAATAATGAGAGAACAAGAGGAAAGTTGGATTGAGTCCGTGTGTTTGAATTACACAGCGGAATAATAGGAGGAATAAATGTCATAATAATTACATAATATTCTATTTCCTATTTACACGATATCCCAATTACTTACAGAATATTTTTTTACATAATACGGAATATTCTGATATCTAACAGTTTCATACTACACAAACTAACCACAACGAACCTAAACCAACAACAATAGACTCAGCAGACCAAGAAGAAAACCATTTGGCCTCTAAATAGAATCACGACCCTACTATTGCACAAGAAGGCGGGAATGTTTATACTAGAAAAAAAGGGAAGAAACCAGAAGGTGATAAATCAAGCACGATCCAAATGTTAAACCATGAGTCCAACCTGGACCCAGAAGGTGATAAATCAAGCACAATGCAAATGCTAAACCATGAGTCTCATCGAATGACACAGAAGCAGAGAAAAATGGGGAACATTCAAAGAATGTAACATCAGACGAAACAATGCATCGTTGAAGTTGAGGACAAAAACAACGATATCCTTTTTGTATACGTGAGTAGCCTGGAAAAATACATTTTAGAGATTTAGCAGAAAGTTTGTTTTTACCTGGACTAAGATCATGAACAAAGCATGCGCAACCAAAGACGCGAAGCGGAATAGGGTAGAGGTCATGTTGTGGATTCAAGATAGAGTATGAAATCTGATCTTGAAAGATCGATGAAGGCATTCGGTTGATAAGGTGACAGGCTGTGAGGAGAGCATCACCCCAAAAACGAGAAGGTACATTGTGGTGAAGTAAAAGAGTCTGTGCGGTTTCAACTAAATGACAATTCTTCCGTTCAGCAACACCGTTCTATTGTGGTGTATGAGCACATGATGATTGGTGAATAATTCACTGTGATGTTAAAAAAGATTGAAACTGGGAAGACATATATTCACAGGCATTATCAATGCGTAAAATTTTAATGGAAGTGTTAAACTGGTTTTTAATTTCAGCATAAAACTCTTGGAATATAAGGAAAACATCTGAACGATTTTTCATTAGAAATAACAAAGTACATCGTGAGAAATCATCGATAAAAGTTACAAAGTAGTAATATCCTAAGGTAGACTTCACACGATTAGGACCCCAGATATCAGAATGAATTAAAACAAAAGGAAACCCAACACTTTTATTTACTCGTTGACAGTAAGTACTACGAGTATGTTTGCCTAATTGACACATTTGGCACTCAAAAGATGAAAGCTTAGAAAAATCAGGAACTAAAAGACGCATTTTATTAAGACTAGGGTGACCCAAACGTAGATGTGTAAGGTCTTGAGAAGCAATTGAACCGCATGCCACCGGTGGAGATAGATGATATAATCCTCCAGATTCACTCTCTGCTCCAATCGTTCGTCCTGTACGTCGATCTTGGACATAAACAGAATTATCATTAAAAATGGCTGAACAATCAAGAGTACGAGTAAGCTTGTGAACAAATATCAGATTAAAAGGACAACCAGAAATGTAAAAAACAGACTCTAAAAACAGGTTTGGAAGTGGGTGTGCCTGACCAAGGCCTTGAACTTTGATTTTAGAACCATCAGCCACAGTGACAAAAGGCAAAGAATCAAAATAAGACAAGTGAGATAAAAGAGATTTATTACCAGTCATATGATTAGAGGCACCAGTGTCAAGGACCTAAAGACCAAGAGAAGATGTAGATACAAATGCTACAGGATTACCCGACTGAGCAACAGCGATAGATGATGATGGTTGATAGGCTGCTTTGAATTGGAGAAAATCATTGTAATCAGCGGCGAGAATAGTAATGTCTTTAGTGTTGTCCGATTGAGCGGCGACAACAACCTGTGGTTGTCGTTGTTGTTCTCTTGCCTTTATATGACAATCAACTTCAATGTGATCGTAACGATTGCAATAGTTACAACGAATATCATGACGTTGTCCACCCCGTCCTCTGGTTTGTCCACCACGAACATGATAGTGGGAAGCAAGAGCAGATGATTCAGTGGGAGATGGAGTGGAGACCGGTCCAAAGGCGTGAGGAGCAGCCAAGCGCAACAGTTGTTCACTAACTGCTTCATAGTTAGGAACATTGGATCCTGATAAAATCTGATTCAGGGCGGAATCAAGCTCTGATGGTAGTCCGGCAAGTGCCACGATCATGAAATACTTTATTGTTTAGCATAAGTTGTTGGATCTTTGGTAAAGGACATTAGGGTTGTTAAATTTGCCTTTAACGCATCAAGTAGGGGTGGCAAAACGGGTCGTGACCCACCAGGCCGGCCCGCGCACCCGCCAAAAAGTGACGGGTTGGGTTGAGATTTTGGGTCCGCCGCCCACCAAAGTATGCCCCACTAAAGACCACCGTCCGCGAAAGCTTGTCGCCCCTATTCTTTCAGCTTGTCCCACCTTAAACCCGCCATTTTTTAATTAATTCTAGTAATTGCAATTCTTCATGGTTTTATTTATTTAAAAATATATGCAATATTTTTTGAAGTGAAATTTGTTAAAAAGATGCTTTATGAAAATTATTCTAAAAAATAAGTGAAAAATCTAACTGAAATGTAAAAACTAGCCTATTAATCTATTAAAAAAATGAAAAATAAATAAAAAAGTTAGCAGGTAAGTCCGCCAACCCACCACCTTGGCGGGGCAAGCTAATTTTCACTTGGCGGGATTGCCTGCCCCGCCTTTTTTATGCGGGCTTAAGGCGGGTGGGGCGGGGCGGACGATCTGTTTTGTCACCCCTAGCATTAAGCTTATTCAGATAGGCTTGCATATCCATATTCTCTAATTTCAAAGAGTTGAGTTTGGTGATGACACTGTAAAGATTGTGGACATCATTGGAGAACACTTTCTTAGCCTTTTTCCAAACCTCATAGCAAGTGGTAAAGGCTTGGTATTGTGCTTAGAGATTAGTTGCTATGGAAAACCATAACACAGTGCATAGAGAAGCATTTGTTTGTTTCCACTTATCGCGTTTGGTGGCAAGAATATTTTCTGATATTTTAGTTAAGTGATCTTCATGTCCTTTACCATAAAACCACATTTTGACAACACCCACCCATATATTATAGTTAACTATTCCAGTGAGTTTCTCACACGGGATAAGTGGAACCTTCAACGTGGCGGAATCGGTATCTCCCATGATTTTTGGTTACTCGGATGGAAAAACCGAGAGTCGATCTGAAAAGAGCACAGGAAGACGGTGCAGGCGACGAAAACGGCGGCGGCAGAGGCGGCGGGACGTGCTGTCACGCGCAGGGGGAAGGACGGCACGTGAGATCCACACGCAGGCGGCGGCAAAGCGCGTTGTAAGGTGGATTGCGGCAGCGATTTTGGATACCGGCCGATCTGAAGGAGACGATGCCGACGGTATGGTTACTTCGCCGGAAAAGTCTTCGGGAGCGATAGTGCGCTCATGCAGTGCCCGTGAATGGTCGGCTATTTTGCGAAAACGAATATATATACATATATATTCTAAGACAGTGGGTCAACCAGCTCTAGATACTATGTTGTGATTGTATTTCTATGTGTCGAATATAATCACACATATTGTATATTTATATGCATAATAGGTATACACAATAGGTAATAACATAATTTACACTTATAATTAATTGAATGCAAATCAATATTAATTAATTTGTAACCGATTCTCAACAAAACTCTATTTAAACTAACATTTGTAATTGTTTTAATCACCAAAAGGAATAAGAGTAATCATTTTTCAGCGACAACCTATGGCTTTCCCATGAGGTAGTGAAGGGACAATGAACGAAGTATAGTTTTTAAGAAAAGCTTGGTATTCATCCAATGTAGCTGAGAGCCAATTAGGATCTTTAAGGGCCTATTTTGTTGTTTTAGGTTCAGAAATAGTGAAAAATACTGAAGAGGACAAGCGGGTAAATGACTTCTAGATTTTGACCTAATTTTGCATATGATTAGTATTTTGTGTGGAAGGTGGTGGGGCAGGGATTGAGTTTGGTGAATCAGATTGAGAAAGACTTATAGTTGTTGATATTGGTGAATTGATGGACAGTATTGTTAAAAACAGTTGTACATTAATTATCTGTATATTTTGTATTTAAATAGGATTAATATCACATAAACATGATATTTGATTAGCTGTATTATTAGTCTTTATAAGAATCAATGCCCCTTATAGAATTGAATATGGGCAATTATTATAATTTATTAAGAATTTCCTTTGAAATTACATTGTACCTTATTTAAGAGCACCTGCTTTTCTATCAATAACATAAAAAAAATTATCTTTAACATGGCATAAGAGCTCCAAAATTCATAGAAGCCTGGTAAAATTTGTGGCCTTCATTGCCATTTTTTTCATTGTGTGGCCTGCATTATTGCCGATTTTTTATGGCCTATATTTTTGTTTTCACCCCTTAAAAAGCTTTGCACCCAACAAAATTCAGAATGTCTAAACCAATTAATACCCCTGCCTCAAATAATGGTTCTGTTGAAATGCAGAATGTTCAACCTAGCCTTCGTTTTAATGGAAAAAACTACTTCAAATGGTCTCATTTTGTCCAAACCTTTTTAAAAGGGAAGGGCAAACTAAATCATCTTATTGAAAAGGATACTCCAAAAGCTACAGACAGTAAATTTGCTACATTGGATGAATAAGATGATGTTGTAATGTCATGGCTATGGAATTCCATGATACCAGAAATCAGTGACGCGTGCATATTCATGAAGACTGCCAAAGAGGTGTGAAACAGCTGTAAAGAAAACTATTCAAAGGTTGGTGATGCTGCACAAATTTACGAAATTAAGATGAAGACTGCGACTACCAAACAAGGAGACCGGTCCATTAGTGAATATGCCCAAACTCTACAAAATCTATGACTGGAGTTGGATCACCATGAACATTTTGAAGCAAAATGCACAGCAAATGCTACTTTACTCAAAAGTTATGAGGAGAAGGGCAGAATCTATAAGTTATTTTCAGGCTTGAACAATGAGTTTGATGCTATAAGGATTCAAGTACTCGGAAAAGAGTTATCCTAACTCAATGAAACCATGGCTGCCTTTCGAGCCGAAGAGGCACGAAGAGGAAAGATAATGGAGCCTCAATCCACTGAAAGTTCTAAATTAGAAATTATCTAATACCGTTTAACTTTTCAATTGTTTTTTTGTTTTTTCAGAGGGTGAATAGATGAAAATTGCAATTAGAGAAATACCTGGATGCCTATCCATAGTTGTTCAATGTTGCTATCAGGCATATTCAATTCTACAAGATTATATGGTTGAAAATTTGATGGCAAAGATGCGGAAGGATAACCATTCCAAGAAAGATAACATAAGGAATCAGAAAGAAATTTGTGGCTTCCTGAAAAATTTGAATGATATAATATGAGCACTTTCAACATTTTCAATTTTGATAAATCTTCAACACTCAACGGATTGAATTCGCAGACATCCTTCTTTTGATTTAGAATTATGGCTTTAGCTGTTATTGGTTCCTGAAAAATCAAGAGCAAGTGTATTATAAAATAGAATTAAAAAATAAACGATGTAAATGAATTATATCCCAAGAGAACGGTCATGTGAGGAAATATAAAGTCTCTCAGTTAACAAGTTGTTAGTTTGAGTACTCGCTCATCTCCTTAGAGTTAGATAAATAATTAACAAATGAGTTTTTCCTGATTTGCTTTGTATTTTACCATAAAACCTATGTACCAAAATAGGTAAAATTGTGTAAATGGAAAACATAGAGTCTATAGAAGGATATCTTACCGGTTTTGTAATCGTCGAATCATATAAATCACTGTAAAGCCACAATCTGCTCCATAATCTTGGCTCATCAGGATGCTGTTCCCGAACACTTTTCTTCCCCAACTCTTGCAACATTTTATGCATATGAATTTCTTGGTTTCTAATAGTTATGAACGATTTTTCAGCAATAAGTGAAATTCCAATATCAGGCTGCAATCCACAAGCATCTAGAATTCTCCTCACGTAATCCTCCCTCTCCCCATCAAAGAAGCAAGCAACGTGCAAAAATATTTCTCTCTCTCTTTGCTCGAGTCCCTCAAAACTTGACTGAAGCACTTTCATGATTCCACTCTCTGGATTATTCTCCAACCCTTCCAAGGTAGCTCTCCATTGGGAAGTATTTCTATTATACAAGAAACAACCCATTACTCTAATTGCTAATGGAAGACCTTGAGCGTATTTTAGTACCATAGGAATAAGTTCTGCATAATCACTACTAGAATTATCACTTCTAAAGGCTTTTCTACATAGAAGTTCACGAGCATCACTATCACTCATCAATTCAACCTCATGAATTCTATCCGCTCCATACAATTTAAGAATATGCACATCTCTAGTGGTTATGATTATTCTACTTCCTGGACGAAGTAGTTTGGGATTTATGTGCAATTCTTGCAATTGCTCAAATTGATCAACATCGTCAAGAACTATAAGGAGCTTCATGTTGTATAGCCTGTTTAGTATAATTCCAGATATGTCGGAAGAAGTGTATGTTTCCAAATTTTTTTCATTTAGAGTTTGACGAAGAATTTGTTTTTGAACAGCAATAGCACCACCATCTCTATAAACTTTGCTAACATTCTCGATAAAACAACAAGCACCAAATTGATAGTGATGTGAGATTGTGTCAAACAAGACAGTTGCAAGAGTTGTTTTTCCTATGCCATCCATCCCCCGTATTCCTAAAACTCGAAACTTGTCACGATGAGAGCTTAGTTTCAAAACATTTTCTAATATTTTTACTCGAGGTTGTATTCCAATAAGTTCATCAGCAATCCCTGAGAATTTCCGACCCAACTTTTCTATTATAGCCTGAACAATATTTTGAATTTGTTCAACTTCTGGCCTGCAAAAGAAACAACAACATAATCAAATTATCATCTGAGTAAATAAGTGGATATAATATATAACCGGCAAAAATACTGTCTGGATCTTTTAAGTTTTTTTTTTTTAACAAGTCAGTCCTTTATGTTTTTTTGCTACAAACAGGTCCGTCTGTTTTTAAATTGTAACAGCCAGGTCCTTTAAGTTTTGTCTGTTGTATAAATTACGACTTTACTGTAACAAAACTGATATAGAATTGCAACAAGTGTTACATGAAGGTATCAAAAGTCATGTCTTACGACAAGTGTTACATGAAGGTACCAAAAGTCATGTCTTACTACACTAACATCAAAATTAACAATGATCACCACTTCCGAACCAAAATACACATGTTCAACATTATGACATAAACTAGCATCTTCAACATGTTCTTCATCATCTACTTAAATTGTAGCAAATTGTTCAACAGTGAACACGTTAGTTAACATAAAGGATCAAATTGTAGCAAAAAAAAACATAAATGACTGACTTGTTATAATAAAATAACTTAAAGGACCCAAACAGTATTTTTGCCTATATAATCTTGTCGGAAAAAGATGTGCAACTTACTTCCACACATAAAAGTAATATTTTGAATTTGAACATCATATATTAAATTTGTTAAGATTAAAAACTTTGTATACTTACTTATCTCTGACATCCCAACCAGCTAATGAAGCCAAACAGGTCATATCTCTCTTCCACTTATCAACCTTGTTTGGGTCATGTTTGAATTGGTCGGAATGTAAAACAAAAGCACTCTCATAAACACCATTCTGTTTTCTCACATGAGATGGATCAGCATCATAGAAAACAGGAAAAACAATTTGTTTCATTTCAGCACGGGAATCAGCAATAGCAAGCATTTCATCCAAACACCAAGTTGAAGAAGCATAATCTTTTGAGAAGATAATAATAGAAATCCGTGAATGTTGAATTGCGTGTAGAAGTTGAGGCGAAATGGAGTCACCTTTTTGAAGTTGTTTGTCATCCTTGAAGACGAAAATACCTTTTCTAATGAGACTAGCATAGAGATGGTCAACAAAGGTGTTGCGAGAGTCGGAACCTCTGAAACTGATGAACACATCGTATATATAGCTTTGGTTATTATTAGAAGAATCTTTGGAAGAACAAGAATTCTTAACTCTCTGAGGTGTTTCATGTCTATAGCTTTGGACGTTATCATCCTTGGAAAAACAAGAACTTGTACCTCTCTGGGGTGATTCATATAGATAGCTTTGGATGTCATCACCTGTGTCTCTTTGACTGCTTTGGATGTCATCACCTGTGTCTCTTTGACTTTGCGTTGATGGTCGACGACGGAAGTATTTCCAAGAGATTGGCATATCTGACATGATGATATATTAAAATTAAAATGCATTTGATCAATTAAATTAAAATGATGTAATGAATAAATGAATGAATTTCTATTATTAAAAGAGATCCAACTCTAAACTATAAGATCACTAGATAATTCCACACCCTCTCAGTTCCTATATGGTATGATTCTTGAATATAAACATCTGAAAGTCTTTGGTCGTTTATGTCATGCTGTTAATATCTCAGTTCATAAACACAAATTAAGCCCTAGAGTCATACTCTGTGTTTTCGTTGGATATTCAACTAACTAACTACAGAGGATAAAAACTTTACAATCTCATATATCACACTTACCTCATTTCTAGAAATGTAACCTTTTCTGGACATATTTTTCTCAAAAATTAGAAGTCCAATTCTAATGGTACTACATTTGATCTTGTCATAGCCAAACCTATACCAAATATTCAGGTTATCCCTAATGACCCTCGTGACCAAGGTAGTCGAGCACGGGATCTTAAGTAGGATCGGACGGCGTGTGAAAGATCGTAAAACTAGGATCGTACATGACACTTAAGAACTTACCGAAGGGCAAAATGGTATTTTAACATATACATATACACATACAAAAATATGAAAATTATAATACATGGACAAAATAACCTCTAAATCACAAAATTCAACCAATTTAATTAATAACTCATAACCATCATTCCATAATTTGACAAATTCAAAAGACTTTGTTCAAAATAAGTAGCTCAAAAAACATAAATCTAACAAACAAGTCTAATCATCTAAGATATTATATATTCTCATATCATGATAGTCATATAAAAGGCAACTTCAGCACGTAAGATCGTAATACCCAATACTCGATCTTGACCACAAAGTGCACGAAAAAAGTTTTTCTTAAATCGTAGCACTAAAAGGCAACTTCAGCACATAAGATTGTAAGATCTTAAGACCCAACACTCAATCTTAACTACACTGCTCGTGACCCACCTCAAGTACCTCTGATGTGCCTACCATAGACCATGATGTATAAAAACAATCCAACCCTCTCCAAAATCTCCTCAATCAACCTAGGAGATCCACTAGGCCTCACATATCATCTGTTAGATTGAAAGACTGTGTGCCATACTCAATATCCCATTCAAAATCATCTTAGATATAACAACTTATCCACATACAAAATACAAAATACTTCATCTGTAACGTGACTGCCATATATAAATCATCCTTTTGTCATTTTATAAGCGAGCATGTTCAAACTAGTTTACTCAAGCTTATACATATAAAATCTCAAGATCAACTAGATGACCCTCTAACTAATATTAGAGGCTTTTTTTTTTACTTATAATCAATTCAGTCGAATAATTCAGAATGATGAACTCATTTTCTCTCAACTTGAATATATATTAAAATTAAAATGCATCCAATCAATTAAACTAAAATTAAAATAATTATAAAAAAAAACGAATTACTATGACTAAAAAGGGGAAGTTAACTCTAACCTCGCTATGAAGTTGTTGTCTGAATTCGTTAAAATCTCTGGATGGCTTCTCAGTGTAGTGAGTATAGGATTGATGATGAATCAATTGATGAAATTATTGTTTTTGTTGAGTGAGACGAATTCATATACTGAAATGAAAGTCAACGATGTTTGTGGAAAATGAATGCACGACGCGTCTTTTGGAATTTAGAATTAATTTTGGCAAACCTTCGCTTTCCTTCTTTGACGGATCACTGTATTAACTACTTTCTCTCATACGAAGTTGTAATAACTCTTATAATTTTTATGGAGATTATTTAAGGATGGGTTTTAATTTATACACGTCGTGCCAGAATCTTCCCTCTTCTTTCTTCATTTGTTATATTTTGGCAAATTTTTCAAAGAGCTTATAGCAAGATTTAAGTGTGTCATTTTCTAAATTTCAACATTAATTCAACTACATTGCAATCAATTTCAATAGATTTCACTCAATTCATTTAAACTTTCACACAATAATTCTCAATCAGTAAGTTTTTCATTTTCTTTTTCTTTTTGAATTGCGATACATGTATCAAATAAATAGGTTGTTTAAAATGCATTAATTTGTTGTAGTTACATTCAAAATATGTACTTTGTTTAAATATACATACAAATTGTTGGTGTTTATGGCATTGTCTACATTTTCTAGAATTTCTACTATCGCACATTTTTACAAAGATACATCTCTTGTTTTTTCTAGATTTTTTTGCCTTTCCTGTTTACGGAGTTGCAGCTTCGGATATTTCTGGATTTTGCTTTCTTATTTTACAAAGATGCATCTCTGAATTATAGATGTCTTGATTTTGATATTGTTTTCTATTTTGTATTATAGGAACAATGGCTGAAAACCAAGATAGGTTGAGGCACGATCGTGTGTCCCAACATGCGTTCGTTCGTAGGGAGGTGGCAGTGCGCTCGAGGTCACAAGTTAGTGTTAGTTCGTTTAACGCAGAAGCGCCGACTTCACATGGTCACGTGTCTCAAGCTTCAAAAGGTCACACGTTTTAGGCTTCGACCTCCCGAGGGCACGTGTCTCCTGGCGACCCTCCAGCTTATGAAGCCTCTGAAATTCCCAAAGCCTAACAAGAGAAACCTATTGCTACTTCTACTCTCGTTCCTGGTAGTTTTTCAGGATGCTTGTATGACATTTCACTACTTCCTCTTTATGTTGAACATGTTGTTATGCATGTGTGGGGAGGAGTATATTTATTTAATTTTACGTTACATTTATTTCATACTAATTGAGTTGTGACTGATGTTGATATATTTATTTTTACAGTAGCATGAAACTGTAAAATTTGTAAACCATGTTAGGAAGATTTTGAATCTGGAATATAACATAGACGCATGGTTTCAAGATGTAGTTCGTTACTCTGGACTGGAACGTTTATGCGCCACTAGATACATGACTATTAACCATGGCATGTTGGCGGCTTTTGTGGAGAGATGACACAAGGATGCGTCATCTTTCCACATCCCTCATGGTGAGAAGTCAATTACCCTTGATGATGTCTCATGTCGTTTGCATCTTCCGATTAGGGGAAGATTACTAAACTATTCCTTGATCAACAAATCTGAGGCACTTGAATTGATGGTAAACTATTTGGGAATTGACCTAGGTGAGGCCCAATAGAAGCTTAATGCCACGAGAAGCGAACATGCTTGATTCTCATACCTTGAATAACTGAACAACACTACTACAAAAAATACCTATAATCACGATTACGAAATACATATAATAACGGTTGAACAACCATTGTTAGGTAGGGTGTGATTGTATGTGGGTTATTTACAACCACAATGCAGTGCCTGTGGTAGAAAACTAGAAAACGTGTTACCTATAACAACGATTGTTTTAAATAATTGTAGTGAAAAGTATAAAGGTCATAGGTTACTGATAGGTAGCAAAATATGGTACATGGACACATGGAAATCATTGCACTTATTAACTTGCTTCATAAGTTAAGGGTATAAAAACCCCATCTTTGATGTAAATACTGGTTGTGTTAGGATAACAATTTACTTATGTAATTTTCACCTAATTCTAACTCATTGTGTGGATATTTGTTCAAGGCAAGATAGTGGAAGGTAAAGCAAAGAAGTCAAGTTTCAACATGCGCGTTAAGCATGCTCCTAATGAGCAAGGCAAAGAAAAAATCAAAAGGTGACACTTCTAGCACACTTAAAGTGAGCAAAGAAGGAAAATCCAGAGAGTCTCGCTTCTAGCGCGCTTGAAGCGAGAGAAAATGACAAATTCTGGAAAGTCATGCTTTAAGCATGCTTAAAGCGAGAGAAAATAAGAAAATTTGTATAAGTCTTCAAAAGCATGGCGCGCTTAGCGTGGTTGTAGCGAGATAAGGCGGTTTACGATACTGACGTGTCAAATTGCTTCATGATGAAAAAAGGGTGTTGCGCTTAGCGCAGTTGGGCTAGGCTTAGCTCGAGTTTGATTTCAAAGGGAGTATATATATAACTCAGAACATCAAAATCAGGATTTGTTACATCTTTTATAATATTTTATTGGATATAAACACGTGCTAGAGGTGAAAAAACCAGATTTGGAAAAATTGGAGATGGATACACAGAAATCATCGAGAAATCAAGATTAATGTTCATTCATATGTATTCTTCTCACTTGTATTCAGCTACCATTAGTAGCTAACTCCTCTCTTGTTGGGATTATACATATTTAATTATAATGGTATGTATCCTTTATGATCATTGTTGTATGAACTAGTTATGAATCAATATTGATGTTATATTTATTTACGTGTTGCTTCTATGGATTTGAATCATTGTTGATGTCGCGGTGAAATTTGGATACCAAACTATTGATTAGTTTGAATCTTATTCATTTGCAACCGAACTTTGATTTTTCCAAAGGAAGGGATAAAGATCGAAATTCCCACAATGCAATGTAAATGCAAGCTAGAGAGTTTTAGGTTCGGGGGTTGGTTAAACTTAGGGAAGGTGCTAGCATCCTAAGTTTTTGTAGTACTCTACAGGAACCTCTTGTTTTATGTTTGTTTATTGCTAAGGTTTATTTTCTTAATGGTTGAAAGACCCTAGGAGTTTATTTCTAAGTATACTCGATAAGATATCGCATCTTATGCCTACATATCCTTACGGGAGTGGAATCAGAGTATATGTAGTTCCCCTAAAGGGTTTGAGGAGTTCTTTGACTATGGTCAAAGTTCCTACGGGTTTAGGGTAGTTGGTTGATTGAGTTTAGGAGAAAAGATGAGTTGTCATTTTAAGGGAGATTTAACCGCCATAAGTGTAAGAGATTGTATTTGTTGTGGGGTGGAGATTCTATCTCGCTTAAGATGATTAACATCTTTCTCTAATGTGTGAATAATTGTATTGAGTTGATTTGTTTTGTTTCTAAGTTGTAAAGATAAAGGTCCTTCCTATAGGGTAGGATCTAACTTAGAAGATCGACTTGAATGGGATCAAGGATCATGGGGAAATGATGCAAATGGGATGCATACGCGCAAGTTTTACGTT